GTTCATGTACACTTGATAAATGCAAGTCCATTATTTGACCTCTTTTTATATTGGTTTGAAAAAAAGAGTTCTGCGCTAAGAAAATGGACTCTAATGTTAGTTTTTAGTGCTGTTGATAAAACAAGATATGTGCCTGAAAAAAACATAAATTAAAGTCAGTGCATTCAAAAGTACAGCATTACTGAAATCACATTATATTTTTCAGTAACGTGGTAATGTAACTGTACTGAATACTGTAATTACACTGGAGATAGAATTATGTTCTTACTTCAATTATAAAGGTTCTTCAATTATTTGAATGATAGTATGATAGGGGAAAAACCCCAATAAAAACATCAAACATGACTGTTTTTTCCTGCACTACAAACAGCTGATGTTAGTTCATGGTGAAGAAAATGATGATGTCGTCCACAACCTCTGAGGTCTGGAGATGTGGAAATCAAATTTATCGTTATTGTACAAAAGGACAAGAGTGTGATGTAAAATGCAATCGGTGTCCAAAACGGAAACATTCTGCTGACTCCAACTCGACTCTTTGTAAGGATAAACTTTTCCTTGTGTTGTTGACTTTTGTGTTCAACCTTAAGCACTAGAAGCAAAAAATTAAACACTAGAACAAAAATCTTGAATGTTCTTTGTTATGATGAAGATTTGTGTCATTATCTATGTCGTAACTTACGAAGTAACTAGAAACCCCTGTTAATCCTGCAACCCTCTTCTACGCCAGTCAGAGTCGTTGCTGCGTTGACCTCACGTTTAGTTACATTTCTCGAGAAGTGCACGTCAGGTTGTGCTGAGGGTTACAGCGTAGGGTTAAGAAGGATTTCTGCATATGTTGTAAGTTACAGATAGACTTCCCACTGAAGCATTAGGCATTAGCTTGATATTATTAACTACTAATTATGTAACAATGCATTATAGGTCATGTTACAGAGCAATATATGAAATTAATGTAACAAGTTGTGTAACAAATTATTTTTTTCATTGAGTCATTAAGTAATATACTACATTGTTATAAAGAGAGGTAATAAGTAATGTGTAGTGTATTGCTTTTTTTAGTAGTAACTCCAAGACATTGTAGTACTCTGTGGGCTGATGGGATACTGTGAATGGATTTGGGGGATCACTCTCTGTGGGTAAATCTCTAGTGTCCACCTGCCTCTCATAGTCATTTGATAACAATATTGATTACTGTCATTTTGAGAAGTTAACAGGTAATGCTTTTATCTGCGTTTCCAAAGTCGAGCCATCTGACTCTGCCCTCGAGAAGGGATTGAATTGATTTCACTTAAAAGTCCATGTACACAAAACTTGCAAGGTTTTTGAATGGAAGTGAAAGAAATCTCTCTATTTCATTTGCATTCAGAACATCTGTGAAGAATTCTGTGGATTGCCTGTATGGCATCAAATGGATTACACCAAAAGTATAATGGGCCGAGCTCCTTCTAGGTTAAAAGGTCATTTGGAGTGCTCAGAGTACCAACCTGCATACAGAAATCTGCTTTCAGTCCATCAAGCTGCCTGCTTCATTTAACCAACACGATCAACCATAGAAATGGAGTACAGGCTTCTTCCCTCTGCTCATAACCTTTCTCTTTTTTCACTTATCTATAATGAAGTTGAGAACTACTTAAATTTAAGTTTCCTTTTATCAGCTCACGCTTGCTTTGTAGGAAATGTTTGTCAGATCTCAAGGGGTTGGTGGTGGTATTACAAGCAAAAGTAGAATAGTGTACTTCAGGTCATAAAAGTACAATATTTTCTTAAAAGGGATCTTCTATCAAAAGAACGTTTAAATCCTGGGCAAAACCAAGGCTTGGTTTTCCCCAGACAGTGTTGCACAAAATCCAGCAACTAAAGATGTTCCCAGAATAAAGATAACCTCAGGCTAGGAAACAAGTGGAAAGAGTCAAGGACATATCACAGTCTTCATGACAAGAATTTTATTTTCTTTTTTTCTTTTTTTATTACATTTTGCATTAAATTAAAGAGTTCTTTTTTTTTCTTTACAACATACATTAAGCTGTGAATCAGATGTTAAGGAAGTGGAGAGAGTAGGGCAAAAAACTTTGTGACGTCACGATATCTTACAAGCTTACAAAGTTCAAAAGTTTGAGAAGTTGAGAAGAGAGTAGATTTGCATCTAACAGCAGTGTATTATAACAAGGGTGAAAGACAAAAAGGCACACACCAAAGAACCTCACTGTCCACAGCAGCCTTCAGCCTTTAAAACGCTCAACTTTTCTCTAATATCAAAACACTTGATGTTGCTGAATCATAAATGCACCCACAGCCAAAAGCACTTGTCTACACAGGATGTGGACATTTAACCTTCAAACCTAGACAGGTTCTCTTGTTCACATTCAGTGTGGACATGACAATTCATCCAGGTGGGAGACAACGCAACTGAGCATTTCAAAACCAGAAATACTCAGCTGAGGATAAGCCTTACTCCAGGCGTGGGAATGTTGCTGGTTCATGCACTCAGTGCACCGGAGGGTGTAAGTAAGGTGTTCAGACACTAATTTAAAGCAAAGTAGTTTTATGAAAGTCTGGAGTGAACACACGTCTATGCTTATCTGAACTTTGAAGGTCCTCGCTTCAAGTTAATCGATGCTATAACTGTTGCAGCTTTATCCCGGACCATGTTTTAGATGGGACGCGTTCCTCTCGGTTCATATTTTGAACTAATCCATTGCCCATGACCTCGTCATGTGCAACCATTCCCTTCGAGCATCTATGTACACATTAGTCAGGTCCCAGATCCTGCATGTCAGTCTTATTCGAGCTGTGGACTGAGACACTCTTGGCTTTCCTCCAGAAAGAATATTGATATCGAGAAAACTTTAACCTATCTACACATACAACGCTAAGGGAGTGCTCCAATGACTTAAGTGTTTCAGTGTGGGGTGATCCATAAAAACCCTCAAGTAAAAAGGAAGTGAAATCATCTGATTAGTTAAACTCTCAGCCATTCATAAGGCTTTGATAATGAGAGTTAGTGAGGCAAAATAAAATAAAAAATCTCTAAACTTCCCAAACTGTGTTCGCTTACAAAAAGGGGGTTAAATAATGTACAGTTTTTAATAGTGTTGTTTCAAAATGTCATCTTTTTTTTTTCTTTTCCACAGGAACCAGCCTGTTTATGCAACCGTCTAACAAGTGAACGTTTCAATGCGCGCAAGAAGCCTCGACTCGTGTTAGTACGCTGGGTGTTCACGTGTATCTCGTACTGTACGCTTGCTATGGTGCTATCGCAGTGCACCAAGGGAAGATACACCTACGTTGGCCTCCTTAAGCAACAAATGTTAATTGTTCCGTTAACCAATTAACCATCACTCCAAACGAACACCAAAAACAAGTAAAAACAAATACCAGGACTTTGTATAAAACAGGAAATGAAAAACACTCACAAAGTCTTTATCGACACTGCCAGCACAACATAAAGGGTCGTTTTAAGCGCATTAATGGCACAATCAGAAATGAATCACAAAGATGAGTGTGTGTATGTGTGCATGTGTTTATGTGTGTGTGCCAGAGAGAGAGAGAGAGAGCGAGAGAGTATGAATGAAGAAAGGAATTGCTCCTTCCTCTCTTCCCTCTGGTCTGTAAGTGTGTTTTGTCTAGGGACCAGAATTACAACAATAACACCTACATTCTTTAATTGCATTTTTATCAAACAAGGGAAATATCATGACATAAGAAAATAAAGGAAAATAAAAAAAAATACAACAAGGAGACAGAGTTAACAGCTATTAAAGAAAACATTGTCACTACTTCAGGGTGTAAGGCACAAATTTACATGTGGAAAAAGAAGCAGGCAAGACAGATGTTCCTATAATTTCCTTTTTTTCGCCCGCTCTTCCGCGTGACGCCGCTAGAAAAGACGATACGTTCCAAGATGGAGGCACCGCTCGTTTGCTTGCAGCCTCACTTACAGCTTCCTTTTGTATGCAGATCCCCCCGTGCGGTTGCTGCAGCTGCTTCTCTTATATTTGCAACATGCAACAGTGAGCTGTGATGGCACCAGTAAGCCAGCAACCAATCAGGACAAATGTTTGGGACTCACACAAAACCACAGTGCTGATTGCAGGAGTGAAAGGGTGAGGTTCAGGATTTCTTTTCTTTTTTTAAATGATTGGTCTAAAACAAAGGAGATTCTGGTCCGTAAAAGTAAAAGTCCTGGTCTGGCACAGTTTAAATAAATATCTCCTCGTCGTCACAGAGGTCACGTATATTCTCAAGCTGCAGGTCCCACTGAGCACACAGTAAGACCTAGTTGAACTTTAGTCATTAAGAAAGTTCTACTGGCTCCAGTTTAATGACTTTAAATATTTTCTTCCTCACTCTTGATTAATTAATATTAAAAGATCTCTTCTTTGTCCTCTTTCTCTCCAAGCCTAGAAAGTCAGTCTGTTTGTTTTTCAAAAGCACTTAATAAAAATAAATACAACAAGCTATTAGTATTAACAGTCATGTGTTATTCAGTCACCAGTACAGTAGAAGATTCTTCTGGCCCAGGCTTTCAGTCATGCCCAGGCAGGACTTGATTGCTGTAACACTGAGAGGCTTTTCACAGTTTCCGCCAGAACTCAGGCAGCTGTCTGTCCTTTCAGTCCGAACTCGTTCTCTCTGAGTGCTTGTTTGCTCAGATCCTCCTGTCCTCAAGGTATTGTACAACAATTATTCTCCAACCCCCTTGTGACGTCTTCGTATGTGCTTTTACCAGCATGACGAAGTATCAAATCAAGTCTCAGTAAACAAAGACACCACAAACAAGAGAGCCACTGTCTTGAATGCTACAGGGTGCCAATGGATGAAATATTCAGGACAAGCATCATCTTCTTTTTCAGTAGCACATGTTCCCATGTGTGTTTACAGAGGAGCTGTGTGCCAGCCAGAGCATGAGCTCGATGACTGCCACAACCGACAACAACCATGGTATAATATTTACATATTTATATAAAAAGAAAGTGTTTTCTTTAAGAAAAAAAACTGTGTTGCATTTCCACTGTACTGTACACCAAAAAACAAACAAAAACACAAAAAGGAGATGCAAGTTGTACAGTATTCCCTGTTTTTTCTCTCTGCCAGAAAACGCCTTTCACTACTGTCTGTTCACATTGGACCGACAGGCTAACAACCCAACTATGTGCCAGAGTCACTGGACTTGACTTTTGTGGAGAGCGAGACTACAGAGGGTTTGGGGGGGACATCAGGCTTGAGATATTTGACGCCCGTTCGAGGCAGTGATCCGTAGGAGCTCATTCCAGGCTGCCTTGACAGAGATATGCCCTGTGCTGTCATTTGTATGGAGTCCACCCTCTGAGGTGCAGGTGGTGGAGTCTCAACACGGTTGAAGCTGTGATGTCTCGCCAAATGGGAGGAGTTAGAGGAGTTGGTGTTGTGTTTCTTGAGGGCGGAGGATCCACAAGCACCAGATGCTGATCCTTTCCGAAGCCCGTAGACTGACGAGTGGACCTCCAGGCGTTTGCCCATCTGTGGGACAGCAGGTGGGATGGTGAGAGAGGCCTCCCGCTGGGGCACACGAGGTGGCAGCACCACATCTGGATCAGCCATGTTGAGGTTGTGGCACGGGCTCTTGCTTGTCTTGTACTCCAGGGTGGCCCCCTGGTCGTCCAGTACACCGTGGCCCATGCTCATATCACTGTGATGGGGCTGCTCCACATACTCATGTTGGTAGGACTGCTGGTGCTGTTGCAGATGAGGCTGAAGCTGGTGCTGATGCTGCTGCAAAGGTAGGACTACAACGCTAGGGATGTGCCCCGGTGAGGCCCTCAGCGGCAGGTCGGTAGAGATAACAGGCGACCCCATTGGTGGCATGTCCTTGGTGCACGCGTTGATGAGGTTCTGGTTTCTCTCCCACTCACGGCTTCCCCGGCTGGGCTTACGACGCGGCTGCATGGGGGTGGATTCAGGCGTTGGCAGAGCCGCAAGGTCCAGGTGGTGTTGGTCTGCTTTTATGAGCATCTTCCCATTTGGCGTCAGTCTTCCATTGTGCATCAAAGGTGTGAGAATTGCCTCGGGGCGACCTTCTTTGGCCTGCGTCTCAAACAGACCCGTCAGCTTGGTTACGCTGTTCATGGATCCCCGGCGGGAGTGGAGGTGGTGGGTGTCCTTTTCTTTACGGCCCGTCAGGTCCATGTCTCGACGACGATGGTCACAGACGCAGTAGACAATGATGCCAGAAAAGATGGCGCCCATGGCAAATGCTAGGATAACGGCGATGGCCAAGAGGGTTACAGGAACCAGCTGGTCACGACCCTTCTGGTAGCTCTCACGGATCACGCCTGCAGAGAGACACAGAGATGACATTCAGACAGGCAGACTAAAAAAGAGATGCTTTGAAGCCAATTGTTTCAAAGAAAATAAAAGAGATGCTGGAAAAGATTCTTCTTAAAAGATGAAGCAAAACATAAAAACAGTTACAATAATTAAGATATCTTCTGGGCAAAAAGATTAACGGTTTAAATAATTTCACGAAAAACATGCAAATGCAGAAGGATTTATTCCATCATAGGAAACATCTATTCAAAATTGTAGCTTCAAGTATCAAGATTCAGTGTTTCCCCCAAAATCCAATCTCAGAGTGAAAATGTGTTTTGGAGGGGTGATTATGATTCACATTTTAAATCCCAGATAAAACCTTCTGCTGAAATGAAAAAAAGATATGAGCTCCGATAAAGGAACCTGAAATACCCGAGCCCTTTCTTCTCATAGATGCAAATGGAAGACTTTTCATAAAGCTTGGATCCAATCTCATGAATCACAGCGAATACATTAAAAAGCCTCTGATTAGGCGCTAAATCCAATGAGCTGTGTCATCAGTGTCTTATGAAAGCGCCACTTTCAAAGACTGGCAAAGACACACTGTGATAACGCCAAATAAAAGATAATTCAATAAAGGATGCTATGGAGCATTTTAGCGGTGGGTGAGCGGGAGTGGCAGGTTGTATTTAATAAAACAGGGTCAACAACAGACTGCACGCACGCACACACGAGCGTGGACACATGCACCTCCCACACATGCATGCTCAAAGATGATAGCCTGCAGCCTGTGGATGAACGCAGACATCTAATGCAGCACATTATTCTTTGGGTTAAACACACCGGTCCACAGCCGAGAGATTTATAATGCCTTCACACATGACCTATGGCCCGTACAGGTCAGTTACCACAGATAGAGGATTAGGCAGGTGGGCTCTATCGTGTAAAGGGGCTACAGCAGGGGCATCGCTCGTCTCCGCAACGTGACTCAGTTTCACATGTGTAAGGCATGTATAGATTCCTCAACACTGAGGAATCTTTACCCCAAAATGCTGAAAAAAAAATCCAAAACAAGCTGGAATGTATGTGAAGTAATTTAAGATGATATCTGTGAGTCTTTCCTGTACAGAGGAGGTTTGTTTACAATGAATCGGTGTTCTAAAATAAGCAGTAGGTGGGTGATATGATTTGTACAACAGCTTTTACAAATCAGACATTTTCATTTAGTACTAATCCAGCTACAGGTGGAAAAATTGGATGAAAATGTGTTTTTTGTTCCTTTTGTTTCACTTCTTTGAGATTGCTCTTACTGAAGTGCATTAATAAAATATTTCTGCTGCCAACTTCAGACTCTGTCTTGTTAATCTTTTTTTTCTGATATTTTGAAATTCAGTTTTTGCTGACTGCCTCAGGTATTATTGCAGATAATGAAATATACAGTGGCTGCATGAATATAAACATTTGCTCACAGGCAAGCTGAACAACAGTTGTCAACAAGCAACAAGTAATTTGGTCCTTTTACAGTTTGCCGTCTTCACGCGACACTTTCTTCGTCTTCCTTGCAAAGTTTTCAATTTGCCCTGTAATTTTTCAAAAGCAGTTTCCACAGAACAAACATTAGTTCCAATAATTCTCCGAAATCCTGAAGGAGCTGGTTAATCATGTTTGGCTTTTCAGCTCAGCGGTGTCACTGAGGATGTACTTGGAGAGTATCTTCTTTCTGCATTTCCTCAGTGAGACATAACACAGACACAGAGAAAGCATGGTAATCTTTTCTCATGGATCTGAAATCCACACTGTCTTAAACTAACATCCATAATCTCACTCGCTGCAGTCATACTTCATTAGCCCAACAACATGAGTTAAAGCCCCTTTTTCCAAGCCGGAGTTAAGCACTCTTTAGTCTCTGTCTGGACTTTGAAGCTCAACCTGGATAAGAAAGGACACTTACATTTACCCAGATCATTCCTCATTTATTGTAAAAACAAAACTTCACTTTTCTCCTTAATAGAGTGCTGACAACATGCAGCACAGCCATAACTCACTAAAAGTTAAACAAAAGGTTTTAAAAAAAGCATCTTTCCCGGCCAAAACCTTTCCTTATCGAGGACACGCTCAGCCGTGTGGATAGTGTGAGAAGTGATGAGCGTTATCTGCAGCGCAGCATCCACGTTTGACGAGTGTTACGCTGCGAACTTGCGTGATCAAATGGCCGGCCTGTCTGATGAAACATCTGCTTCCCATCTCATCCTGTAACATCTGAGAACGAGAGAGATACTTTTCTGCGCTGCTATCTTTAACTTTGACTTTCCACTGTCCTCACTTAGATCTTTCATTCACACTTTCTGCCACTTCTCTCCTTTGCAGAAACAATGAATCACTTTTTTGACTTTCTTTTTCTTTCACACCGTTCAGCCTCCATATGGTAAGTGTTCAATTCAGTGGAGACCGGGAAGGCTGTAATTACAACCTTGTGATCTTTCTAAGTTATCACCCTTTAGCAGAAACAACAGCGGCGGTGGGGGCTGGCTGCTCTTTGAGAGTTGCTGGGTTAAATATTTCAGCGCACACGGAAGGGATGTAAAAGGGATTCAGTTTCACTTGAGATCAGGAGACCTGGAAATCTCCAAAGGACAGTTATGTAGGAAAATAAAAGTGCAAGCATAAACAAATACATTGGCAAATCTCTCGTTTTTCCATAATCCTTGTTAAAAGTAAATACTTTCATATGTCTCTGTCTGTGGAGCTGACATTGAAGCTGAAAAGAGGAAATCAAAACTGTTATGAATTTTCATGACAGTGAATTTATTACTGCTAAAGGCTAACTTTCTGTGATTGAGCGTTTGGACTTCAATTTTGAATAACAAAGCCGGAGGGCGGCAGAGCCAAGTGGTTGTCCATTCTGGTGAAGGAGGTGAACTGTGGAGCTGGATCTTTGACTTCTCTTGTGGGTGTGTGAGCTAAAGTTAAAACCCTATTTAACCTGCCCTGTAAGGCTCCTTTTTTTTTTTCTTTTGAAGCTTTTATTCTTTTTCTCCTCTCCTTCCTCCATCACTCACTTCTCCTGCACACGCAGACATTTCCAGAAGGTACTTAGCCCAAGGCCTCGGGTAAAACACAAAGAAAAAAAAAAGCTAAACTTTGAAGACTTCCATCTTTCAAGTGAGGAATTGTTTCTCATCTTAACATCAAAGAGGATGAAAGTTGCCACAGAGGACACCAAGGCCGTCTCAGTTGAATCACGGGACCTCGGGGTTTTGAATCAAGATGGCTATGCCGCTCATTTCTGATCATTTGCGATCTTTGTAAACTTTCTAAAACTTCCACTACTTGACCTTGAAAAGTATCAAAGTGTTGCTAAAACTCACAGATTTTCCGCTTTAGTCTCATCTTGTTGAGGTTCTGACTATACAGTGACTTATAATCTTCTGGTTTCGCTCTTGCCTCGCCCCCAGAATGCATCATAAGGCATCCTGCAGTTCAACACTTCTCTCGGCGGATGAATTGATTTGAATTTCACACCGCCTCGAGCCTCAACATTCAGATATTAAACACATATCTCAGATACTCAGATATGTCTTGCTGTCAAAACAGGCCGGGTCGGCAACACTTACTTATAAATCAGAAACATTGTAATCTATTGTGACTGGAACTTGTGAATGCTCTCTCTATCTGTCTGACACACACAGATGCTCTTCCACTCTTTTAATCTTTTGAGACGCACCAACTGACTTAAGCCCACAGAGCTTGTCTTTGTGTTGTTGCAAAGAAAACTTCAAAGGTAGTTAAAAATCACAGAGGGGTTACAGAGAGGGCACTAACCTCTGACTGCGAGCGACTGCATAAAGACATTGTCTGCAAAATGATAAAAATCTTAATTGGACTTAACTGCTACTTACTATGCTTCACTCGCTGAAAGATGAAACAGTGGACCTTACCGACTACAGACAGAAGGAAGGATGAAAAAGCAGATAATGTTAAGTGGTGTGCATTTATTTACTCTGACGCGGGAGCTCGAAAAACGCCCTATTTTTTCATTAGGAACCAGTTTGTTGTCATCTTTTAAAAAGGACACTGGTATTTGGATGGTGACAACAATTCATTAACTTCTATTTAAATTCCCTGTTAGCAAATTATCCTATTAAGTCTTGTGTATGTTTGGGTTAAGAGCCACTTGCATTAATGGTGTTATTCAATATTAAAGCATTCATCAGACAATCCTGAGTCGGAGCAATGCATACTGATGAGCGAGTTAAGATATAATTAAACCCCTAATTATGTTATTCAGCACCTGAGGTATTAACATTGATGTACTAACCTATCCAACTCCCTGCATACAAACTGTAATATTTAATAGTCACAAGATATCAGCATAAATTAAACATCCCATTTTTCATCAGCTATTTGATGCCTCGACTTGACAGCGCTCCCGTTCGGATTACTGGGTGATAGATTTTTACATGCTGATATACTGAACGCAAAAAGGTCCCTCACATTAGAGTGCAACTGTTAAAACAGCTTGTCACTATTTAAACAGTGTAGACTTTTAAATTATGTTTGCATTCGTGTCTATAATCTTGAGTTCTTTCAATTAATATTCAATCTCGATGAGTCACCGTAATACAGCCGGTGACCCACCGAAGTGTATTTCACCATGTGGGCTGCAGAAAATGACTTCTGTGTATCACTGGAGTGCTATGTGTGTGCTAATACGCATTGCATTTCATTGAATCCATAAAGGCAGCCATTGGTAATTGTTTAGAAATGTTTTAGTGCTCAACAAGAGAACAAAGCCTCGGCTTGTATCTACTTGATGAGGGCTCACTCATGGACAACGTGAACATAACTGTTTAAATCCAGTTCAAAGTATAATAATGACAGCTGAATGTGGGTTAGACAAGCTTCAAGAGCACAAAGGGATGAGCCGCAGTGATATGAGATTCAGTCTCACATGAGCGAGAGACAAAGCAAAGCTCTCGTACGAACCGTCAACGGTTAGGGGGACTTATTAAAAAGCGTAACC